AATAGTTTTAGAACTACACTAGTATTGGGATTTCTTTGCACTTCATTTTGTCCTTAGAATATCTCAGTAAGGGTATATAGACAGATTACTATATTCAGAAGTTACTTTTTTATTTTCTATGTGTTTATCAATTTGATACACAACTAGGTTCGTTTGTTTTTAACTATATTTTTGAGGTGTACTTCTGTTTTAAAATTTAACTTCATGTTAAACGCGGTTCAAATGTCAAAACTATATATAAAAAGATTCTCAGGAAGTCTCCCTTTTTCTCTTTCATCCATCTCTGGTAGGTAACTATCTTCATGATTTTCTGGTTTTTTTATTTTTCTTTTTTGCAAAAAAAAAAAAAAAATAGATTATTTGCATGTGACAGGGATCTTACACAAACGTTTTCTGCCATTGTGGCATAAAAGCAGCCATAGACAGTTTGCAAACAAATGAGCTTGCATTATTTGCAAAGACAGAAGTTGGGCCAGATTTGGCCTGCAGGAGTTGTTTTCTGCTGGCTGTAAGATGTAGATGTACTCTAATACAAAAGCATGTACACCGTGTACTGTCCAAAAAAAAAAAAAAAAAAAAAACAGTGATACTTATTATAGTATATAGTAAGGGAAACTTTTTTCAAGACCATTGTGATAAGTAGAGGGGATGTGGCAATGGGATTTTGCAGTGGAGTAGAGAGATTGGGTTTAACTCCAAACACAGCATGGGCAAGTGGGAATTTGCAGCCAAGGAGCAGGTTGGAGGGTCAGTGGATGGAAAATTTCTAAGAGGAAACATGAGGGGTCAGGGTAGTTCTGACTAAACCAACCTAACATGATTCTTAGTGAAGATACGCCAGGGTAATCCAACATCTCCGAGGGATGGTGGAGGATGAGGAACCTGACCAGATACGCAGGTGATCAGATAGCGAGGGTTGGGGAATTCTTGCTGAACTGAATTAGCAAGATTCCTTGCTAAAAGTTGATTTTACAAGTAATTGTACAGATGGGCCTAGGAGAAGGTTGAGGAGCATAAGTCTTTGCCATATATTAGTTGGTACCTTGCTTTTGTTTCCCTAACAAATACATCCTGGAAATTACTGCCTCTCCCTCTTAGTTCCTAAATAGCATCACCCCTCCACCCCTTTAAAAAATTTTTTGAGAGACAGGGTCTTACTCTGTTCCCCAGGCTAGAGTGCAGTGGTGTGATCATAGTTTACTGTAGCTTCAAGTAGCTAGGACCACAGATACCTGGCTAATTTTTTTTTTTAATTTTTATTTTATTTTATTTTTTTTGAGACAGAGTTTCACTCTTGTTACTCAGGCTGGAGTGCAATGGCGCGATCTCGGCTCACTGCAACCTCCGCCTCCTGGGTTCAGGCAATTCTCCTGCCTCAGCCTCCTGTGTAGCTGGGATTACAGGCATGTGCCACCATGCCCAGCTAATTTTTTTTTTGTATTTTTAGTAGAGACGGGGTTTCACCATGCTGACCAGGATGGTCTCTGTCTCTTGACCTCGTGATCCACCCCGCCTCGGCCTCCCAAAGTGCTGGGATTACAGGCTTGAGCCACCGCGCCCGGCCTAATTTTTTTTTTTTTTTTTTTTTTTTTTTAAGACGGAGTTTTGCTCTTGTTACCCAGGCTGGAGTGCAATGGAGCGATCTCGGCTCACAGCAACCTCCACATCCTGGGTTCAGGCAATTCTCCTGCCTCAGCCTCCTGAGTAGCTGGGACTACAGTACAGGCGTGCGCTACCATGCCCAGCTAATTTTTGTATTTTTAGTAGAGACGGGGTTTCACCATGTTGACCAGGATGGTCTCGATCTCTTGACCTCATGATCCGCCCACCTCGGCCTCCCAAAGTGCTGGGATTACAGGCGTGAGCCACCGCGCCCAGCCCTCCCCCCACTTTTTTTTTTTAAAAGAGATTGGATCTCTCTGTGTTGCCCAGGGGTGTCTTGAACTCCTGGCCTTAAGCTGTCCTCCCACCTCAACCTCCCAAAGTACTGGGATTCAGGTGTGAGCCACCACACTGAGCCCTTACCCCTCTTTTTATGGGTGAAGAATATTCCATTATATAGATACATCATAGTTTATGTAACTAGGACCCTATAGATCAGGCGTCCCCAAACTTTTTCCACAGGGGGCCAGTTCACTGTCCCTCAGACCGTTGGACGGCCGCCACATACTGTGCTCCTCTCACTGACCACCAATGAAAGAGGTGCCCCTTCCTGAGGTACCGCGGGGGCCAGATAAATGGCCTCAGGGAGCCGCATGCAGCCCGTGGGCCATAGTTTGGGGACGCCTGCTGTAGATGAACATTTAGGTTTTTATCAGCATTTTACTAACCTAAATAATAGTGCAGTTAATAATCTAATGATTTTTTTATATGTGCAGCCTATTCTCTTATAAAAGTAACACTCTTTATCAAATTTAGAAAAACAATCCTTAAATGTATGGAGTTAAAACTGAAACTGTTGCATTATAGTCCTCCTCTCTCCCAAATTGCTAACAGTCTATCAGTGTGCTTCAGACCTTCCTTTTGTTGCAGTTGGTGGTAGTTTCATTTTGTCATCCCATATTTAACATGTAAATATATTCTCAGGCTAACATATTTTACAACAAAAAGATCATGCTGCACGTATTATGACTTGATCTTTTTATTTTATGTGGTTTTAAATACCCATCTATTGAGTTATCTTATTCTTTTTCCTTCTTTAAAAAAATAAACTCAGCTTATTTTCCCAAGTCAACCTTATTATTCTTTCTGATTGATAGTTTATATATGAATGTACCATAATTAGCCATTTCTCTATTGATATTTAGACTGTTTTCAGTTTTTCAGTATAATAGACAACTACAGTTAATATCCCGGAACATGTCTTTGCATATGTACTAGTATTTCCATAGAATAGATTCCAGAAGGTGAAATGGTTAAGTCACTGTCGTTGATTTACACTTGTGCAATGTCTTCCCCACACCCTTGCCAATACCCAGTATTAGCAGGGTTTTTAATATTTGCCAATCTGTACCTATGCAACAGTCTTGCATGTTCTTCACATGTATCTCAAAACTTAAAACGCAATAAAATATATTTTTTAAAATGTGCCAATCTGATAAAAAAAGGATGTCACCTGATTGTTGTAGTTTAGTATTTTTCTGTTTGCTACTGAGATTGTTAGTTCAGGTTTATTGGCCACTAATTTCTTTCTTTTTTTTTTTTATGGTGCTTTTATTTACAAGTATACTCATATCTGAACTTTGGCTGCCTAAACTCCGGGATTAAATAGATTTGTGTAAATGTTTTAAAGAATCCTGAATGTATGTAGTCTTTCCATTTTCCTTCCAAAAGCAGTCTTTCCACTTTCCTTCCAAAATCAAATTGATTCAGATAAAAAAGTATCCGTCATTTCCTAACTTGCCATCCAAATTCTGGCTGTCCAAAATCAGGAACTAAAAAAATTCAGATCAAAAGGGATACTTATATTCTCATATGAATCTTTTGTTATATCCATTACAGATTCTCTCTTCTGGTGTATTTTTTATCTTGTTTATGTAGTTTTATAAAATAAAAAGTTGTACATTTTTATGTTGAACATCTGTTGATGTGTCTCCATAAATTACAGGATTTTGCTTCACTTAGATTGTCTTTTACCACCTAAAATTTTTAAGAATCTATTTTAGCCATATATGACAATTTTTAGACACTAGAATTTTTAGATACATGAAATTATTATGCATAATCAGTTTTGTCAATGTTTTTAATAATTCATACTTTGCATTAATCTTAAATATATCCTTTATCATAAATCAAATTCTTACTTATATAAGGGTCCGTTCCAGCATGCGTTCCTGCAGCAGTGCCGTATTGTTTTAATGAATATTTAGATATCTAGATGGGAAAAATTTTCTTGTTCTCTCATATATTTATTTATTATTACTTAATTCTTCCAGATACATTTTATTTTCATCCACCCCTCCCCCACCCCCACCCCTACCCCTACCCCAGGTACATTTTAGAGAAAAAAATAAAACCAAAAACCTGACTTGTTCATTTATGCTTCTTCCAGCAGTGCATGAGAATATGTGTAGATCTGGGAAAGACTGGCTAGGAGTCTGGAAGCAAGGTTAAGACTCGCATAAACCTAGAACAACTAATGATAAGTAATCTGTCCCCTAACCTGGGAGAAATCCAATAGGTTTGCAACACTTTTGAGTGTGTTACCTAAGTGTTTGTTTAGTCAGCTCTTATTTACCTTCTTCTCGGTTTAACCCCCTCCAGTTCACCTTTTTAACCCCTTTCACAGTCATTTCCTGTAATTTCTTATCATATTTCCTATATACATCCTCTTCCCTCTTCCTGGCATTTCTGCCCATCCCCATGGCCCAGTTTTCTGCCTTGGGAGATCTGATTTGTTCATAAAGACTCAGTTCAGATATTCCCATTTCTGGGAGGTGTTTATACATGCTAATGCTAAGAAGTAAGAATGTTGTTCTAACCTTTGTGCATTATTTATTCCAGCATTATTACTATTATCAAACTTTTGGCTGAATCAGGACACATGATACATATGATAAATGTTTGTGGAAAAACAGTATCTCTGCTTTCAGGGAACTCATCAGAGAATAAAAAGAAAGGCTTAGGATAAGAGAAAAATAGATATGAAAGGAGACTCTGTGTGTGTGTGTGTGTGTGTGTGTGTGTGTGTGTGTGTGTGTGTGTAAGTCACTAACAGGAGAGCGCTTATATAACTTTCCCCCCACAAACCGATTAAGCTTTTGATTGTATTGCTTGCCCTATAAGCCTTAGATAATGTGCTTATACTCAAATTGTGACAATCATTTTGACCCAGGAAGGCATTCCAGATGGGGTGTGATACAGGCAAAGGCACAGGGATAGCACCAACTGGATCATTATCATAGGAGTTTCAGAGTGAAGGATTTGGGAGTAGTCACTTCTGTAATGTGGAGTTGAGTTGTAAATGAACAGGTATTCTGAATCTTTTCTTTTTTTCTTAGTATTGGATGAACGAATATACCTCATCCATTGGAATTGGAGTTTTTCATTCAGGAATTGAAGTATATGGCAGAGGTATGTGTACACTCAGTCTAAATATACTTTCTGAAGATTATCTACTTTAAAGGAGTTGCAAAATCATGACTGTAGTGCTTTCTCTTTTTTTAACCACTTCCATATGTTATTACGGAAAGTAGAAGAAAATCTCCTCTTATTCATTTATACTGCATTTTGGAAAAATGCCCAAAATCGAATGTATTTGGGGAGAAAGTACTCAAAATACAAGAGTATACATTCACTTCGTTCACTTTCTTTTATTCTAAATACTATGTTTTAAAAAATATTTTCCTTTTGTGATTATCATACAATGACAGTTTATTTTGTGCTCATATATATTGGAGCTCCTAAGAAAACTTGCACTTCGAAAATAGCATGATAAAAATAATAATTTTGGTTGGAAAGGTTGGTGCTAGAGAGTGTCAGATTTGAAATACCAGTTTCCTGAGGGAATTTTAGTAAATTTCGTTTGTAGACCTGTAGGTCTATAAAGTCTGTAAGTTTATAAAGTCTAAAAACATTGCTGAGCAAATCCTGCCATTGATTACATCTAATCGTGCCCTTTGTCATTAACTCAGCCCTCTTCATTCTCTTTATTGTCCTTTATTAGGGTAAACATCAGGAGTCCCTCAAACCAAGCAGCTGTGTTTTCAACAGTTTTTTTCACTCTGTTCTAATTCTTGCTCTTGATGCAAGATAATCTACTCCTGATCAAGTTGTAACTAATAGTAATGGTCTACATAAGACAGATCATATTGCTGATTTCATTTAATCTATTATTTTGAATCAAACTCACCCTATAGCAGAAATGCCTTTGTTCACTTCAGCTAGGCAGTCTTTGTGACCTCTTAGAATATATTATTGCAATTTACTCAGGGTTACCTCTGGACACTATACACCAATTTTATCCAATAGAAAGAAAAGACATTAACTTAAATGTGTCAGTATGGTGGTTATACTGTCTCTTTTTTTATATTCCATTTTACCTGCTTCCAGGTGCAGTTCAGCATATTAAATGTGGGCTATAAAAACATCTGCCATTTAAGCTCTATTTTACATCTACCAAATAATCCCAAGAAACACTGAGGGGCTCTTGCTGAAAGTTTCATGATAGGGAGGGGTATTGCTATGGGTGGGATCATAGTCTATGGGGTTACTCTTTTGGTTGATATAACTTTTGCCAAACTTGCATGTGTATTTCTTGAATTTGTATGATGGCCATTTTTGAAGTGCCGTCAGGTTTTGAACCACATGACCATGCTGTGTTAGATAAAGACATGTGGCGTCTTCTCCATTTTCCAGCTGAAGCAGCTGAGGCCTGAACCTGCTGAAAGTCATAATGCTAATAATTAACTAGGACTTGAACCCAAACGTTCTTGTATGCTAGTTCATCGCTCTGTTGTCTGCCTAATCATTGCTTCCCTTCATAAAATGAGTTAGTAATCATTAGAAACATGTTTCAAAACATCTTCATGTAGATTTAGCAAAGCTGGAGTCAAACATTAATATATTCCTGAAAATTAGTGATTGCTTTTTAAATAAAATAAATGGGTCTGTGACTTTGCTTACTATAATTGAGAAAGTTAAGAATCCAAATATAATCTTACCCTTTCCAACCTGATTATCTACAATATTTTGTAAAATTTTGTCATTAAAAAACTTTAAAAATTAATTTCAAAATAACCACTTTATTTCTTGAACTACATGGTTGCTTTTTTCAGACAGATCTGTATTAAAAGTAAACTTAGTATCTGCCTGTTCTTTCCTATGCTTTGTTCTAAGACCTTTTAAGGTTTTATTTTTAAAGTGATGAGGTTGACTTAAACATGTGTTTAGAATTCTTTAAGTGTGATATCAGAAAATTATAGGAACTTTTGGTCTAAAATTATTCTCCATTTTGTTCTCCAGAGTTTGTATCTGATGAGTTGGATGCACAGTCAAAATAGTTTCTCCTAGGTAAAAGACTTGCTGTGGAGATTGTGGATGGGAGGGTGGATAGGGATGTGTGTTAATTTAGCAGTTTATTTTTTTCTTAAATGAGGAGAATTGAGTAGAGTGTTTTAGGTTTGGTAATTCCTTCCTACTTAAAGGTAAACCAAGAGTCTTTATCCCAGAAGCCATGAAACTCAATGTTACTAGTTTCCCCAGTAAGGTATGTGTTTGAAATTAGATCACTGTAATTTAGACAGCTGCAAAACACTGAACTGACCACCTCCTTAGATCGGCATGGTATAGGTACGCAGAGAGAACTGTATTTACCTTTGCGTGTTAGTCACTCTCTGTCTGCCATTATTAGAAAGGTAAATATGGCAGTCAAAAATACTTTTGAGTGTTTTTTGTTATTTGAGTTTTGGGTCTTTGGTGACAACTGTTTATATAGATAATAGCTAAGTGAGATATTTGTGAAAGCATTTTATAAACTGAGAAATATTTTTATGGTATCACTGTTACCCACAGTTATTACAGCTAATTCAGCATTCTGGTTAAATTTTATGTGATAAATACTAAAAATTATGATTTTCTCTTTTCAGAATTTGCTTATGGTGGCCATCCTTACCCCTTTTCTGGAATATTTGAAATTTCCCCGGGAAATGCTTCTGAACTAGGAGAAACATTTAAATTTAAGTAAGTAGGGAGGATAATTTTTATTACACTCACTGTCTAGGTGCCATAGCTTGTTTTCAGGTATACAGAATTCAGTCTATAAATCAAAACAAACCCAAGAAGTTAAAAGAGTCTCTTTAACTTTGTTTTAATTGCTGACATTTTATATAACTCAGGTTTGCCTTAGGAAATTTTTTTTTTTTTTTTTGAGATGGAGTCTTGCTCTGCTTCCCAGGCTGGAGTATAGTGGCATGATCTCAGCTCGCTGCAGCCATCGCCTCCCAGGTTCAAGCGATTCTCTTGCCTCAGCCTCTCAAGTAGCTGGGATTATAGGCATGTGCCACGATGCCTGGCTAATTTTTGTATTTTTAGTAGAGACAGAGTTTCATCATGTTGGCCAGGCTGGTCTTGAACTCCTGACCTCAGGTGATCTGCCTGCCTGGGCCTCCCAAATTGCTGGCATTACAGGTGTAAGCCAGTGTGCCCAGCTCAGGAAAACTCCTTTCTAATGATTTCTTCCCCTCAATCTCCTGTTTGAAAGAAGAAAAGGTTTTATTGTTACCTATCTAGCACATTAAAAATGTCTTTATTGTCCCAATGAAAGGGATACTTTAGCCTATAATCCATTGTTAAGGTACATTGTATTGCATGTAATGATAAACCTAAAATATATGGATATAAGTGTTCACTGGGGTCTTATGAATAATAAAAAGCATTGATACTGTAAATGTTAATAATCATTCCTTAATTGCAGTTTATATTTAAAGTGATATTTTGAATATGAATTTCAAGGAGCTTTAAACTTCTGGGCCTATAATAGATGGCTTGCCAAGTGAAAAACAGTGAAATGAGGTTATAACATTCAACTTCAGTAGAGAGCTACACAGGAAGCCCTCTACGTTCATAGTTCTCTGAGCCTATCACCGACTTGAAAGATGTACACACATAAGTGCCACGATTCCACCCTGAATCCACTCCTTTGGGCTCTCTTTTGGCAAGACTACTTGATAAAAGGATTTTCTAAGTATTTTCAGCCTTCTTGGGTGCTTAACTTTTATCTGACTAAAATTCCGCTTTCTCTTGAATAATGTCTGTTGCTTTCCAATGTAGTAGTTTGGGGGTCATTCTTTTTATTTTTGAGATGGAGTCCCACTGTCACGCTGGCTGGAGTGCAATGGTGTGATCTTGGCTCACTGCAACCTCTGCCTCCTGGGTTCAAGCAGTTCTCCCGCCTCAGCCTCCCGAGTAGCTGGGATTACAGGTGCCTGCCATCATGCCTGGCTAATTTTTGTAGAGATGGGGTTTCACCATGTTAGCCAGGCTGGTTTCGAACTCCTGACCTCAGGTGATCTGCCCGCCTCAGCCTCCCGAAGTGCTGGAATTACAGGTGTGAGCCACCACACCCTGCCAGGATCCTTCTTTTTAAAAAATGTTTAGTTTGTCTGTCTCATGGAGCACAGTAACAGATTAACTCTAAAGTTTGTTTCTACGTGAGATCATGGCCAGTCCTTTAATAGCAAGTAAAATTATGCAGGAATATTTGCAGCATGGATCCAGTTCTCCAATAATATAGTACTAATGAAATAGTTGTGAAAATAATTACATTTTACATAATGACATTGTTTCATAAAGAAAATGACTTGTGCTTCTGTGGTATTCATAGTGTACTTAAGAGTATTGCAGAAAAGTAGAAACTAAAATAATTGAGACTTTCAAAGTATCTTGTTTCATTTTTGTTCTTACTATATTAACCCTGAGTTCTGTCAACTGTAATATTCCTGGAAATTCCTGGAAATAAGCAAATATTTAAACATGCTTTTTGTAAATATTTGACACAACTATGTCCTTATTTTTCTTTTTTTTTCCTTCTTCTTCTTTGTTCTTTAAGAGAAGCTGTTGTTTTAGGGAGCACGGACTTCCTAGAAGATGATATAGAAAAAATTGTAGAAGAACTGGGAAAAGAATACAAAGGCAATGCTTATCATTTAATGCATAAAAACTGCAATCATTTTTCTTCAGCTTTATCAGAGGTAAACTACATTTAATCCTAAAATTTCTTCAAACAGTTGCTATCCCATTATTGCTGATATCCCACTCTATATTCGATCTTAGTTCATTTCTTTTTTCTGATTTTTTGTGTTGTATGAAATATGGCATTGTGTTTCCATCTCTTATATGAATGACCTTTCCAGAGTTGGTAAGTTGAGTCTGCAGAGTTTTAAATGGTAATTCTATTCATTACTTTGCAGTGGGTAGCAAGTGAGTACAAATAATGGTCCCTTTTATTCCAATTTATTTTATTACAACCTGAAACTTTAACTTTAAAAAAAAATGCTTAGAGACTTCTGCTTCTTAGCCACTAAGGTTTCTCGTTTGCTGAATTTCAGTTCTCAACCTGAATTTTTTTTCTGGCTCTTATTCATAAGTAATTCATCTCTTCCATCTTGAAATTTTATTCTGCTAACATATCACATAGGCACTTACTTGCCTTCTCAATTCTTGAATCCCAAGCAGGAGATCAAAACGAGATCAGAATTAAAGAACCATAAAAAGAAAATGGAGGAAAGATATTAAGATTGTAAAATGAGGTCTAGAGAATTAAATAGTTCTTGAAACAGCTTCCCAACTTTCTGATTCTTAGCAGATGGTTGCAGTGGCAGCATCTAGGTACCACAGAAATTGTGAAGAGTGTAAAGGAGAAAATGAGCTGCTATTTCAGTGACCTCCTCTGCAGAATTTCTTAGTTCTTGGCCCTTTTTACTTCCCTCATGGCTTCTACAATACAGGTTTCAAACAAGACTCTCACAGTCTATCATGCTACTCAAAGTGTATTTCATGGACCAGCAGCATTAGCATCTCCAAGATATGTATTGTTTCTGCCCCACCAGAGATATACTGAATGCACATCTTCATTTTAACAAGATCCCAGATGACTCCTATGAACATAAAAAGTTGAGAAACTCCTCTAGTCTAGTGGGTGCAACAGTACCATAAAAGCGACCTAGTCCATTTTCAGGCAAGGGGGAAGGTAGGTCTGAGCTTTCTTGATTTTAGACATTGCATTTGTATAGAATGCATTCAAAGATCCATTGACTGCTAAAATTGGTAGAGAAATAGACAGCATCCTAATCCACTCTTAATTTTCAGACAAGGAAACAGACCCCAATTGGGAAAATAACTTATCCAAGATTATCATGGAGAATTCAGTTTAGACCTGACTTCTTAATAGTCCAGTGCTTATTATACTTTATCATTACTTCCTCTGGTACTAATTTATTCTGTCCTTCAAAAACATTAATAACTTTATTGAGCATCTATACCACCTTGTCAGCCCTGGTCTAACCACAAAACCGTTCTGCGTTTGGGGCCCAAAGAGCAATTCTAGATGTCCTTGAAGCCATCTTTTTAGGCCACAGTCTTTATGCCTTTCCCCACATGAGTGCTGAATTGTTAAATTGTGAGACACAGAAGTGACTTGGCCGAGGTTACCCAGCCTGTTAGTGGCAGTGCTGGGACTGGAATTCTGGATAGTGAGGGATACGGAGCTAGTTTACTAAAATACGGCATACGTTCCGTGAAATGAAATAGCAGCTGAGCTCTTGCCTATTGTGAAATATAGAAGTTACCTATGGAATTTGAAATGATAGATGCAACTCCCATATGATGAAGGCAAACAGATTAGTGAAACTGATGTGCTTTTACATCTTTGACAACCTTGTGTAGGGCTATATGCTATATAACCAGTTGTAAATAAGCAAAACCATCACTAATTCTATTAATAATTGATTGTTGATATGTGTACTCTTCTTAATATTCTTAAAAATTCTAAGAATTACCATTTAACACAATAATGTTATCAGTTCAGATGCTTCCTCTACAGCAGGGATTAGCAAAATATTACAGCCTGGCCTTTAAACCAACACCAGCATGTCATCTGTCCTTGTATAGCCCACAAGCTCAGATGGTTTTTACATTTTTTTAAGGATTGAAAAAAAGCCAAAAGAGGACTATACGATGACATGTTCAAATTATGTAAAGTTCAAATTTCAGTATTCATAGTTAAAAAAAAAAATTATACATTTACTGCATGAGTAATGGTTGGAATTCATAAGATGAACTGGGTGCCGCAGCAGCGGCCCTCTTGGGTTGGGGTGTTGTTCCGTCCCGGAATCCACGCCTGAATCTGCGGTAGACAGTCTTGAGGTGCCTCGTGTGACCGGTCCCGGTGCTGTTTCGTCTTTCAGCCTCGGTACTCCAGTTATACTTTCTCTTGTGTTTGGCGGGGTGGCCGCATTTGCCACAGGTCCATTTCTGAAGGTGGTAGGCCTTCGAGCCACAGCAGCACAGTGTGTGTGTCTTACTACAACGCTTTCCAAATGATGACTTTCCCTTCGTCATCTCACTGCTGTGGCGGAGACCAGAGAGATTCATAAAGTTTTATTGGAACACAGCTATTCTTATTTGTTTACCTGTTTTCTTGACTGCTTTCCGGCTGCAGTGGCAGAGTTGAGTAGTTGTAGCAAAGAACTTATGGACTACAAGGCCCAAAACATTTTTGTTTGACCCATAACAGAAAAGTTTGCCACTACTGCTCTACAAGATAGGTCCATTTGAATTGGGTGCTAATTGGCTTAAACACTGGGGAGACGTTATCTTACAAAACAAGTCCAGAATATACGGCAGGCTCCATTCCAATTTGGTCAGTGTCTCAACTGTGAGTGTCATAGGGATGTAAGGTCTTTTTTCATTGCTCTAAGTTGCCATCTTTGGGATGTTGGCTCAACCCCCAGGCCAGCTCCCTGTGTGGCTTTCAGATAGCTGTAACAGTTCTAGCACAATCCAGAGGAAGACTTTGTCTTTCTTCCTTTGGTTCTCTCTCAGAAACAGTGAAACTCTTTCTGGGAACCCCCTTTTCCCTACCCTTCCAAAAGTAGCCATGTTTTACAGCCAGAATTGTGTCAAATGCCTAATTGTAAACCAGTCACTAGCAAAAGGACTGGCATTACCCTTACTAATGCCACTCATCTAATCTAAATGTCTTTTAAAAGTTAATATTTTCGGTCAGGCGCGGTGGCTCACGCCTGTAATCCCAGTATTTTGGAAGGCCGAGGCGGATAGATCACAAGGTCAAGAGATCGAGACCACCCCGGTCAACATGGTGAAACCCTGTCTCTACTAAAAATACAAAAAATTAGCTGGGCATGGTGGTGCATGCCTGTAATCCCAGCTACTCAGGAGGCTGGGACAAGAGAATTGCCTGAACCCAGGAGGCAGAGGTTGCGGTGAGCCGAGATCGTGCCATTGCACTCCAGCCTGGGTACCAAGAGCGAAACTAAAAAAAAAAAAAAAAAAAAAGTTACTTAGATACCACCCCAGCCCCAAATTGTTTTGAAATAAATCCCAGATTTCCTCTAGAGACAGGGTTTTGCTGTTGCCCAGGCTGGAGTGCATAGTTCACTGCAGCTTGCAACTCAGGCTCAAGTGATCCTTCTGCCTCTGCCTCACAAGTAGCTGGAGCTGCAGGCATATGCCACTACGTACAGCTGATTTTTATATCTTTTGTGAAGGCGGGGTTGCATTGTATTGCCCAGGCTGTTCTGGAACTCGTGGACTCAAGCAATCCTCTTGCCTCAGCCTCCCGAAGTCCTGCGATTACCTGCATGAGCCACCACACCTGGCCTAATTTCAATTATATTTCTTTTTTTTTTTTTTGAGACGGAGTTTCGCTCTTGTTACCCAGGCTGGAGTGCAATGGCGCGATCTCGGCTCACCACAACCTCCACCTCCTGGGTTCAGGCAATTCTCCTGCCTCAGCCTCCTGAGTAGCTGGGATTACAGGCACGCGCCACCATGCCCAGCTAATTTTTGTATTTTTAGTAGAGACGGGGTTTCACCATGTTGACCAGGATGGTCTCAAACTCTTGACCTCGTGATCCACCCGCCTCAGCCTCCCAAAGTGCTGGGATTACAGGCTTGAGCCACCGCGCCCGGCCTCAATTATATTTCACTCTAACTCTAAAAGATATTCTTTTTAATATAACCATAATATGTTATAACTCCTAAACAAATTAACATTTCTTATCCAAATGTACAATGTTCAGATTTCTCCAATTGTCTTAATTTTTTTTTTTCTTTTTTTTGAGACTTGCTCTGTCGCCAGGTGCCAGGCTGGAGTGCAAAGGCACTCAGGTCACTGCAACCTCCGCCTCCCGGGTTGAAGCAATTCTCCTGCCTCAGCCTCCCGGGTAGCTGGGACTATAGGCACGCGCCACCACACCCAGCTAATTTTTGTATTTTTTTTAGTAGAGACAGGATTTCACCACGTTGGCCAGGATGGTCTTGACCTCATGATCCGCCTGCCTCGGCCTCCCAAAGTACTGGGATTACAGGCGTGAGCCACCGTGCCTGGCCCAGTTGTCTTAATTTTTTAACAGTTAGTTTGAATCAGAATCTAAACAAAGTTCATACAGCTGGTCACCCTGGGTTACATTTCCCCATAGAAAAGGCAGGATAGCTGGGCACCGTGGCTCATGTCTACTAATCCCAGCACTTTGGGATTATAGGCTGAGGTAGGTTGGTCACTTGAGCACACAGTTCGAGACCAGCTTGGGCAACATGGCAAAACCCTATCTCTACAAAAAAATACCAAAATTACCCAGGTGTGGTGATGTGAACCTATAGTCCCAGCTACTCGGGAGACTGAGATGGGAGAATGGCTTGAGCCCAGAAGGCAGAGGTTGCAGTAAACCAAGATGGCACCACTCCACTCCAGCCTAGGTGGACAGGGCAAGATAGATGTTTTTTCCCCCCTTTACTTGTTTTCACAAAACAAGTTGCTTCCTATACAGAAGAGTTAACTATCATCATAGGCCTAAAACTGCTGTCCTTAAAAAGTCCTGCCCACAGGATTGGCCCTAAGCTGGCATCTGGGAACTTGGACTTCTCTAAGGTTCTCACCATTCCTACAACTGATAAGGGTGGCCCCCTTTACCTAACCTGTTTGTACAACTAATTTGGTTTATGCTAAAAACCTGCTTTCCCTCTGGGACCCTGGGATTTTGGCAGAGGACACCTGCATAACCAGCCCCAGTAAAAGTCTTGGGCACTAAATCTGCAATAAAGTTCCCTGGTAGATACGTCACGTGTGGTCACATCTCATTGCTAGGGGAATTAAGCATGTACATCCTACCTGACTCTGCTAGAAGATCCTTCAAGCTTGTGCCTGGTTTCCTCCGGACTTTGCCCCATGTCTATTTTCCCTTTGCTGATTTTGTTTTGTATCTTTTTGTTGTTGTCACAGTCATGAGCATGCTATGCCGATTCCTGAGTCCCAGCAAATCACCAAGCCTGGGGGCAGTTATGGAGACCTTTTACTCACAGAAATATAACAAAAAGACTGGCTGGGCAATGGTGGCTCACACCTGTAATCCCAGCACTTTGGGAGGCTGACGCAGCCAGATCACTTGAGGTTAGAAGTTCCAGACCAGCCTAGCCAACATGGTGAAACCCCGTCTCTAATAAAAATATAAAAAATTAGCCTGGTGCGGTGGGTGCACCTATAATTCTAGCTACTCAGGAGGCTGAGGCAGGAGAATTGCTTGAACCTGGAGGCAGAGGTTGCAGTGAGCCAAGATCACATCACTGCAGTCCAGCCTGGGTGAGAGTGAGACTCTCTCAAAAAAAAAGGACTGAGAAAAGAAAGAATGAAGTGGATGGAGGTATGGAAAACCTTTGGGTGGCTGTTAAGTTATCCATGAAATGAAATAGCAGCTGAGTTGTTGCGTATTTTGAAAGGTAAAAGTTACCTGTTGAATTTGAAATGATAGATTCAACTCCAGGAGAACTGACTCAGTAGATCACCTGGCTACTTTTTGGCCAAGCTGGCTAAAGTGAGGGGGGCAAAAGTGCAGCCCAGGTATTACCTTCAGTTGTTCTCTCCTCCAGGAAGAAAGAAAAAAGGCCCCAAAATTCCCAAAGATGAGCTTTGCTTGGGCCAAAAATGTTAAACATCTATGGTGCTCTTTCCTCACAAGAGCAAAAAAGATTGAATCAGTTCTCAGGGCTGGAGCAAAGTAAAAAAGGGCAGGAGACATACTCCAGTTGTTAGCCTCCTGCACGCCTTCGCCCCCATTCCAATGAGGGTCTCCCCCAGCAACTGTAATATAAAACCTTTTGCTAAATATACTGCAAGGGGTTGAATACATCTGCAGTGAGGAGGGGGCAGTGGGGGGGCGGGGAGAAGGCGGTGGTTGATGACCTTGTATTTTGCAGTTATTACACCTATGGATATATGATAGAAATTGATGTAAAACGTTTTATGCTTGTAATGTCACAGGTGCTAGAGGGGTTATCTCAATAGGCAGTATTGCAAAGAAAAAGTAGTAGTGGGACACATGTCCTTGCTTTCTGCAGCTGTAGGATAGACGGAAGTTTAAATCCTTTGTTGAAAGCAAAATATGTCTCACAACTGATGATATTTACTATGATTTTGCCCATTGGAGCTTCTGGAAAAAGGAAGACGTACACTTTTAAAAGTTTTTAAAGCAGTTTTTTAAATTGCAAGTGAGCTCATATAAAATCAGATGTCTGACCCTAGAGGCTGGTGATTCTCTAGCCTGATGTGCGTAAATTTGAGTGTGTCTTAGAAAGCACTTAGGAAAACTTTGGTTTTTGCTTGGCCTTGAAAACATGCTGGCCCTTCAGCATCTCAGCTTTACTGCCGCCAAAGAAAAGTATCTGGCATATTTTGGAATCCTGAATTCATAGATCCTAATTGCTTGGACTTGACACTTGAGCTAAAACTTGACATTATCTGCTGTACACTATTTCAGCCTTAGCACAAACTGTGTTAAACCGAAAAGAGATGCAGGCTCAGGGAACAAGACTTCTACTTGGGGATCAAAGCACATTTAGGATACCCGTCTGTGGGGCCCAACACTATAAAAACATGGATGAGGCTGGGCGCGGTGGCTCAAGCCTGTAATTCCAGCACTTTGGGAGGCCGAGGCGGGTGGATCACAAGGTCGATCCTGGTTAACATGGTGAAACCCCGTCTCTACTAAAAATACAAAAAACTAGCTGGGCGTGGTGGCGCGTGCCTGTAATCCCAGCTACTTAGGAGGCTGAGGCAGGAGAATTGCCTGAACCCAGGAGGCGGAGGTTGTGGTGAGCCGAGATCGCGCCATTGCACTCCAGCCTGGGTAACAAGAGCGAAACTCCGTCTCAAAAAAAAAAAAAAAAAAAAAAAAAACCAACATGGATGTTGACAGAACCATGTGGATTATCACAGGTGTCCATGGAAAAGTGCTTCTCTGCTGGGACCCTATGAAGTTGAACTGCTGATCTGTTCTGTATTTCTGGTACAGAGACTGATTGCATTCCTAACTTGTGATTATTGA